ATTTTTCCCATTCCCTCACACGTAACTACACAATCGACATCATGTTACGATTACGTTACTTCCCCATTAGTTTCTAAAACGAACATTCCAGAAAGAATTATTTTACCTATTCCCTTACACGTAACTACACAATCGACATCATGTTACGATTACGCATAATAATTTGGTGTAAAAGAATATGTAAAAAAAATTCTTTCTGGAATGTTCCTTTTAGAAACTAATGGGTAAGTAACGTAATCGTAACATGATGTAGATTGTGTAGTTACGTGTAAGAGAATATGTAAAATAATTCTTTCTGGAATGTTCGTTTTAGAAACTAATGGGTAAGTATACATACAAAACTTACAGAAACCTAGAGCGTACCTGCATTAGTCAATTTCAGCTGCCAACCTCTTAGGCATAATCGGACATGTGCATATTTTTAAGTATGTACCTTTAACATGTCCGATTATGCTTAAAAGGTTGCAAGCTGAAATTGACTAATGCAGGTATGCTCTAGGTTTCTGTAAGTTTTGTATGCACATGTCCGATTATGTCTAAGAGGTTGCCAGCTGAAATTGACTAATGCAGGTATGTATGCTCTAGGTTTCTGTAAGTTTTGTGGACAACAATCTATTTTGAATCAACTGTTTTATACACAGGGAAAACCTTTTAGAGTTATCGAACATCCGAATGAATTCAGTAAAATTACAGCTGTTCACACACGTGACTCGTAACTACTCAGTTTTCTCGAAAACAACTACATCCAATATTTCTGAATATAAGTAAAAAAAAAATAGTTCGAATTTTGTTTTGGGACTCAAAGGTATAAGAATTTTTTTTTATGTTACCTGCTCTATTTCTTAAAACTTTCATCATGAAATACCGCTTTTATTTCGTCCCCTTATGAGGCAGGGGTAAATCTACGCACTTACAACAGTGAAATCCTGGGTTCAATTCCCTGTAGTGAACATAGCAGATAGCTCAATGTGGCGTTGCTTTCAAACAAACAAATCCAACAACCTTGCATATGCTAGATAATAATATTTAAAATTATTCATTTGGCCCGGCATGGTCAGGTGTTTAGGGCCCTCGACTGGCAATCTGCAGGTCGCGGGTTCGAATCCCTGTCCCACCAAACATGCTTGACTTTTCAGCCGTTATAATGTGACGGTCAACTTACTATTCGTTGGTAAAATAGTGATGATGACTAGTCGCCTTCCCTCTAGTCTTTCATTGCTAAAATACGGACGGCTAATGCAGATAGCCCTCGTATAGCTTTGCGCGAAATTCAAACCAAGCTACTTTTATTTCTGTAACATTAAGAGCGTTAAATCTTTGTTGTTGTGTATGATTACAACTGATCCTTTTTGTGTAGTTAAGAAACATTCGTTTTTGCACACTTTTTATCCTTGGATCGTTTTATAACATCAGGATATCTTTTGTGATCAAAACTGAATTCACAAAAACAAGAACAACGATTATGTGGGATCTTTTCAACTTTCAGTGGCGCTAAGCAAAGATCATCTTGAAACTCCGTAAAACCGAAATGAAGCTTAAGATAGTCATAAAACTGAAATACGGCTTATTATCCATGAATATTTATAGAGGCGCCCTCTCTCGTTCGCATTTATTTATAGCGTATTGAAGGTCAGATATGAACCGTTTGTTGTTCTAATTGACTGAAACGAGAAGCTACTCTGACTACATTAGATCATCAGGCATCAGTGAAGGTAAGATAATGACGACTGCGTTATGTCCACGTCTTTATAAAGATAATTATTTGAAACACTTACCAAGTTTCCACTCCTGTCTAGTTACCATATGATCATCACAGTTTGGGCAGCATGAAGTACAAACCTTTGGTTAATTTCTACAAAGAAACAAAGATAAGTACTTAAACAAGATAACTACAATCCTAAGTGTCTCGCTGAAACATTCAGCTATCAATGTTTTTTAAATATATAATTTTTATATCTATTTCAATTACAAATCGCTTTGTAAACAGGTTAGAGTCAATAATATAGAATTAGCTTTCCTGGATATATATATTAATTAAATCTTATGAATGGATTTCATGCTGTAATTAGCAATTATTCCCTATAATAATAGTCATATATTGGTTTTAAAAAAAATTATACTTGCGCACATGCAATACAATAAGTAAGAAGAACGTTTCGGAAACATCAAGATGGAAGCAAATAAAAGATATCTAAAATGCCAGTGAAGTCTTTTCTACACACGTACAGAAACTATAAACACACATACTTCTATATCCACAACTCTCGTCCATGTGTATTACATTAGAGATGTTAAAAGATGAACAATTCTGGTCAGTGATTATCCAATCTTTCAATTCTGGTCAGTGATTATCAAGTCTCTCAATTCCGGTCAGTGATTATCCAATCACCCAATTCCGGTCAGTGATTATCAAGTCTCTCAATTCCGGTCAGCTGACCAGAATTGAGGGATTGGATAATCATTGACCGGAATTGAGAGACTTGATAATCACTGACCGGAATTGAGAGACTTGATAATCACCAGAATTGAGAGACTTGATAATCACTGACCGGAATTGAGAGACTGGATAATCACTGACCAGAATTGAGGGATTGGATAATCACTGACCGGAATTGAGAGATTGGATAATCATCAGTTTCTTACATACGAAAAAGAAGTGCGTTTTTTTGTTAAAGTATTTACGAATTTAAAAAGATCATTCGATATTTTATATTACTATTTTTTGTGATTAGGGTTAGAATTATATATCACGTCTATATTCATGCCTTTATATGAGAACTTTACTCGATATTATCGTACTTTTTTGATTCTAATCCATTTCAAAGTAATAGAAAATACTTTATGAAATACATTTTACTGTAATTTTGACCACAAATCAGTTTTTATACTAAGTAGTTTTAATACATATCCCCCCTCCTTATTTGTCCGTTTTTTTTTTTACTTGTAACTTTTAATTACATAAACAAGGTATAATATTTGATTCTGAAAATCAGTGACCAGTTTATCATTTTGATGGTACGTTTTTTTACTTATAACTTATAGCTTTTAATTACATAAACAAGGTATAATATTTGATTCTGAAAATCAGTGACCGGTTTATAATTTTGATGGTACGTTTTTTTACTTATAACTTATAGCTTTTAATTACATAAACAAAGTATAATATTTGATTCTGAAAATCAGTGACCGGTTTATCATTTTGATAATTTGTAGATTAGTTTTAGACCAAATTTCCATATGAACACGAGTTTCAAGAAACATTAAAACTCGCTAAGTAAACTTCTGAAACTCAAGGAAAAATATCCATCTCAATATCTATCGCAATGATAAATATCGAACGCAAGGAAAATATCTAACACAAAGAAACATATATAACTTAAGAAATGAGTCTAACGTAAGGAAAAATACAACTCAAGAAAAAAACTATGCAACTCAACTAAAAATATTTACATGTGTTTTAATTGCTTTTTTAGAACTTTAACGAATCGGGGAATTATGAAAAGAGCTGAATGACTGTACTCTTATTCTTATTTTATGAATAAGGTTGTTGAATAAAAATAATACAGTAGAGAAAACTAACTGTAAGTAAAAAAATTTGGTTTTATATCTAATGAAGGACATTCTGAAAATAAATGAATTGGACCTCAATCGAACTAGCACTGAAATGTATATATATATATATTAGAGCCGTACACAATGGTATCCCACGAGTACGCGATTCGGTGAATTTAAAAAAGCAATCAGCTCTAATGACTACTAAAAACTGGTCAAAAATATGAAAAACGTGTTGCTTCTTAAATTATCAATTCGGTTAAATTCCCACTTGTTAAACCACAATACTAGAGTAGTTTCAATATTAAAATATCCAAAGACAATTAATAGAAGTCTATGATATTTGGAAGGTTAATAGCTAATGAAAAATGTTTTTTTTTAGAAACCTCTCGTCACATCAGCTCAGAAAACTAATCATTGGAAACATTGGCGTGACTATTGTTGTTTCAAATAACAATTATCAATATACTTTTAGGCTCCTTACCTTAAACGTGTGACCACTTAAGTATAAGGATGTGTTTCTATTTTTAAAACCTAGAATAATGAATAAGTCTATATTAAAATAAGTACTCTTATTTTTTCGTAGTTAGATAATGAAATCATAAAAATTCTGTTTCTTATTATGTTAACTAGAGAAATAGAAAATATGCCCCCTGTAGACGTCATTGTTAGAGTGATGTGTATTAGATTTATTCGAGTTGCTTCTAGGTTTTCTACTTACGTCATCTAGATTAACTTACTCTCCTTTACGTAAGGGATTCAAACGTTTTACTATTGAAATTTCCCCCCATTATCCATAAAATTGTGTAATTTCGATAATATATCTTTTATTGGTAATCTATAAATTTAATTTTGTGCATAAAGCGTGTGCAATGCAGTAAAGACGAACTTAAAACAAACTTAGAAGTTTAACAATATTTGTTCTTAAATAACAGGACTGCATATAATGAGATAAAACCGTATTAATGCAACGCCTCCTAAGTTCAAACACTCCTGCAAGTTGTCTACCGCAGGGTACCGACTCCGGAGTTATAAGTCTGTAAACTTAGTGCTGACCCACGAGAAATTAAGTAGTAACTAAGTATTCTTTTTAACGAAATTTGATCTGTAATCCATAAACGTCTACATGTGGCAATTTGATCATCCATCTCGGAGAACCAGCACAATAGAGATCATTAGGACGTTCTAGAATGAAAAATCAAAATGTCGTCTCACCGAGCAAGGTTTAGAAAATGTTAGAAAAACATCAGAATGCAGACATTTTAATGAATTCTAATAAGCATTTTTTAGTGAAAAAGATCAGTATATATATATTGTATTCACGTTAGTGCAGATTTTAGAGAAGGAATATAAATACGCCATCCTTCTACGGAAGACGATATAAGGAGTCCAAAATAGGACCTTACTCAAGAAGCTTTAGTAACGATTCGTGAAGCGTGCTAGCGGAAGAGGATCAATATATTGTTGCAGAGATTCCAAGATCAATGAAAGAGACTTGATGATGGTTAACAGAGAGAATGATGATTGGTTGTTTCTGATATGCAAAACTTTATGTAAACTAGTAGATAACTAAGATTCAAAATTAATAGATGGTCCCTGTATCTGTTTATCAATATTGAGGAGTATCAATAGGCTTTATATAAGTGAATGATTAGTGAAAATTAATAGAATATACTAAAAAAAGTTGGTAGATCCTTCTAGTAAACCAGATTCAGTAAATATCATTAGTGAATTACAATGAGAAGCCTAACCTGCTCTTCCTTCTGTTGAAGTCTTAGGGAGGATCAATAGAGTGTACGGGTGAAGAAGAAGTTACTATGTTCACCCAATGTGGTGAATTTAATAGAAATTACTAATACCTCATTCTAGGAAACCTAATTAGTTCTTACTTTGCTGAAGCCTTAGTAAGGATCAATAGAGTGTACTGGGGAAGAAGCTTACTAGGTTTATCCTATTGAGAGGATTTAGTAAAGATTAGTAAAAACCCTTAGTAGGAATGTTTAGATTAATGGAAGTTCAACTGATTATATCAAATAGTATAGAATAACAGTTGTTGTCTCCGATCCAAAGAGCTATCTCAAAGAAGATTAGGAACCACCAATAGTCTGTGATGTGACTCTTAAAATGCAAGACCACAACACAAAATTAGATAGAGTCCTCAAAAACATATTATGTGTTAACTTGTGTTGAATTTGGATATTAAGAAAAATTATACTGTAAGATTCCGAACATCATAAACAGCGCATTTTTTTGTGTTGATCTAGAGATTAAAGATGTAGTTAAGAAAGTTAACACCATTAACTATATCATATGATAAAGAACAGTTAAGAACTTATCCGTCCTTAGCCATCTTGAAGGTGATAAGTTTAGAGTTAACCTAATTTGGGAAATATGTAGAAAGACTTCTTGATCTGAAGTGTTTTCTCATTCGGATTACTTTCCATTATTTTAAAGTGCCCTCTGTCCAGTTACATGTTCGGGCAAGTCGAACAAACAGATTAGTGCGTGAAACATTGTTAGCTTCGTATTTGAAACATATAAAGGTGTTTAAAGTTCCCAAATAGTTTTAACTCTGTCCAGTTACATGTTCGGGCAAGTCGAACAAAGAGATTAGTGCGTGAAACATTGTTAACTTCGTTAAACCCCTACAACCAAGTCTGAACACGAATTAGTATGTTACAAAAGCTACAAATCTGAGTCGTTATCGTCAAGTTAAATAGAAAATACCTTTCATAATATTTTGTGTTTCACACTGCGATATGAACAGTAGAAAAACATCTACAGACAAGCTTAATTGATTTTCAATGGTTTAATAAGATTGTAATGCACGTGTTTTATTTTCTCTCATTCTGTAGAACATAATTATTTCAGTACGTTCATACATTTATAAAAATAACACCCAACATAAAATTTCGACTTTTTAATACGTGATGCCGTGTGTACGTACTCCATTTGTGATGGCAAAGAACAAAATGATAATTTTTTTCCAACACCTCATTCTAAACAGGTTAGTGAAACACAAATGAGTATCTTTAGGGAAACTATAGACACAAAATGTTTTTTATCAGGTTTCGTTATGGTATTGTTGACGAAATTTTTTGATGCTTTACCAAGGCTAATAGAACGCAACATTTCCATTAAGAAAAGTCTATTTCGTGACTCTAAGACACGACTACCTTAACTTGAGAGCATTGCTTTAGCTGCTTCACCAACAACATATCAAATGCGTTGTTATGCTAACAATGGTAGCAACACCTGGTGCAAATGCATTGTTATGCTAACAATGACACAAAAACAATG